GACCCTAAAAATTGTAATTGAATTAATTCACTCAATGTAGGAAAATTGGCATCCGTAATCTGAACCATAAAATATTTGTGGTTCAGTATTCACTAATTCGTGCATTTGCTTAAAAATACTCAACAGAATATCTGCTGTTGATATAAAAGCATGTTTAGGCATATTTTGTGTTTTAGCTATTAAAATAGGCAGATATAAACATTTTTAAAGGGAGTCTCAATTAATCAAGTTATTCACAAGCGGCTGTGCAAATATAAGGATGTTGATGGGATTGTTGAGAATAAATAAATTCTGTGTTTTCCTTCTCTCTCTGTTAGCTAGTTGTTAAGCTAAATCTAAAGGAAATGGCATGGTAGGAAATGCAAACGAGCGCTATGGGTAGAGGAAATGACACACTAATCCTATTTGGGTTGCTAAATACTCCATATTGAAGGTTTGTGCTTCCTTTTGACCCCTAATCTGCAATGCAAAATTTCAATAAGACACATTTAAGTTTTTGTTTGTCACAACATAAAATATAAATAGTTTTTATGGCAATTTCATTTCTGTAAATGTATGATAGCTACATTTTAATTTCCAAATTGACAATTTCATTTAGTAAAAAATGAAAAATAAACTTTTTACATGGGATCAATGCAAAAGCATGTTATTGGAAAAATGCAAAGTTTTCATTGGATTGTCAGGATTTATTCCTCTAAGGACACTCTGTACATCCTGAGTAAAATTCAGGTTGTAAGACTTAAATTACTGTAGCAGATTTATCAGTGTGTTCATAGCTAGAGCTCATCTAGCATATTCATATCTATATACTGGATGACATCTACAATATGAAAGTGCAGCTGAATGAAATTGAACTTCATCAGCGGCAAAAATGTTTCAGCTTCTTTAAGTTTAAAACTTAAAAACTCAGAACTTTGGTCTTTGAATTCACTCGTCTAACAAGACAAAGTATGCTGAGGTCACTTCTGTGTGGATCAATTTATGTCTAACTTCTCTATGTTCTGCAGCAGATTTGATCACAAAGTTACTGGAAGTGTCCCCACTTTCCAAACTTTAAATAAATGTAACTAAGTCACATTTGATTCCTGCTGATTCTTGCATTTCTGCTTCCTAAATTGGTTTTCTCTTTTCACTTCATATTCATTCCAATGTTGCTTTAATCAGACTGTGCACAGTAAAATTTCTTTCCAGTGATTGTTTCTCAACATTTCATTTAAGTTGAAACATTGACATTCAATTTGATATATAACCTCTCATGGGTTTCTACCTAAATTCTTTAAAACCTGCTTGCTGAATGACAAAAGTGACTTTTAAATTGTTTCATTTTATGCAAATGAATGTTGAAATAATAAATCTTGCGTCTGTCACTTTGAGACGTCTTAACAGGTGATTAAGACTTCAACAGCACATCTGGGGATTAGATGCATAAAACTTTAAATATATTGGTCAAAACTTGCTTATTCAGGACACATAAGCTCCACACATCTTCACATCAAGAGTAAAGAGAAACATGAAATTTGTTCCATATGAATGCCAGATTTATGCATCTGGCAAAAGAGGTTTGATCAAACATGGCTGTCTGTGTTTATGTCAAGCCTCAGAGTCTATTTCCAGCGATTTGAGTGACAATACTGAAGATCATTCTTAGAAAAAGACATCCCACAGGTGGAGTCTCTGTCCAGAAGGATTTATTTTTACACAAGAAAAATTTATTGAAGAAGTCTAACATGCGTAATTAACAAAAAACGGTGTTAGCCACCAGTTTCATGTTCTTCTGGTGAATTTTATTTGTTTAGCTTCCTTTTTTTTCTTGTTCTTTTGTATTTTATTGGCGGATGGCCACCAACTTAAGGTGCATTTACCGCCACCTACTGGACTGGAGTGTGATCATCAATGATTTCAGAGGGAACTTAATAATACACACCTCAATGGTGTGCATGAATGTGCAAATTCACATCCATACACACTCACATATATGTGTGTGTATGAATACGCACACACACACATACATATCTACTTTAAATACAGCTTTCTTTTTTCCCAGCATCTGACATCTTAAAGCAAATTGGCAACACACCTGCACTTCATTAGACCATAACAGAACAATAAAATCTAAACAGAGAAACAGGAATGATATTCTTAATCTGATTTACAAACTCATCTATATAATTAAATTGTCTGCAAAATAAAACAACTCAAAAGGTTACTTTAAAGGAAAACATAAAACAAAAAACAAAAACTGTCCATTTGGTAGAACCCAGTGATGTAATCAATGACATCATACATCCGTTTAAGCAGGACATGCTGGGCCGGCACCTCCCATACACCTGGCTGTAGGACAAACAATGGTGAGTAAAAAAGAAAAACAATTTAACAGAAATGCACCTTGGAACTCCCATGAATAGGAATGTAGAAGTGTTAGCTTTAACTAAAACATAAACATAGATATAAACTGCAACATAATGCTACCACAAGCATTGGTTTTCTTTAGTCTGTAAGTTGATTGTTTATGTTGAATATGTTTCAATCTTCATTGTTCAAACGGTGTTGCTATGTCAGTATACTATACTGACATAGCAACACCATTGCTATACTGAGTATATTTTTTTCTTTTTTGCTTCTTTTCTCTTTGAGTCTTAGTTCAGCTCCATCCATCTTAAATACTATCTTTCCCTCCACTTTCCTGCTTCCTCCCAGCCACAGGTGAACCTCATTTTCTCTGATTAGTTCATTAGGTTCCTTTGTCATGATCCACACTGCATCTTCATAAAACCTCACTGGTATTTGCTGTTTGTTGTTGCCTTCTTCTGTTATCTGCTCCATTCTTTGTCCTGCTCTTCCAGCTTCATTTTTTGGTAAGTTTTCATTATTTTTCAATAATGTTAACTCCACCTCAGCTGGAGTAGTTTTTTTTCAACACCACATTTTGCTGCACTCAGCTGTTTGATTGCGCCTCTTGCTGCAGGTATGCAAGAACTTGAATCTTTTCAGCTGCCCCAAATCTTCTGCAGAATGACAGACATTTTGTATTTGATCCTCAGTTTCATCTGTCACTATCACCAAAACATATTTTAGTTTCCTTCATATTAAGTCTTCCATTGGGGCCAGATTTTTTCTTAATCCACACATTGATCCTGGACTAAAACTCAACATTATTTAAATAAAGTTTTAGAAATACTGCCACCTGCATCACTTAAGTCCACTAGTTTTGACCATTTTGTTGGAAAATTGTAATGAACTTGCTTGTGTGAAAGGATGCAGGATCTATTGATATTGTGTTAATTTCTGTAATTGATATATTTGACAGTACACAGATAAAAACTGCTTTGATTTTATGTATGTGTCCATATTGAGCATAGAAGGCCACAAAAAAGTTATGGTGGTCCAGATTTGGCCCCCGAACCTCGAGTTTAACACATGTACACCAAAGTAGGTTTGTAATGTGACTCAAGGGTTGTGAACATTTTTGTAAGGCATTAACTTGTTCCCTGGATGAAGCAGGGAGCAACTTAGAGCTTAATCTGTATAGAAATGTCAATCAGGGATTGTTTGGAAAGACAACACTGAGAAAAGAATCAGTAATGAACTCAGAACAATATTAATAAATTCAGATTTTTATTTGAGTCAACTGTTATCTTTAAAGAGAGATGGCTTAAAGAGTCAGACAGCTTTGAGCTGAACAATTGATTTGTGTTGTTTTGTATTTATTAAAGGACTGAAAAAGAAATTATGCTGCCTGCAAATCTTACAGCTTGCCAAGAAACAATTAAATCTCCACTTTGAGCTCCTCAGAAGCCTCAATTTCCAAATAATGCTTCCTTCTGTTTTTTTTTTTTTCTTATTTAGCTCTGGATCAGTGATTTGGCCTCCATGTGAATCCTGCTGTTGTTTACAATCTAATTTGAGAGGCTGGAGTAGTGACCTGCATCCCAAAGCAGACATTATGCCATTCATTGTGTACAACTATGGCCACGTATTGGGGCCATTCAGATTAATCTAAAACTCAAAAAGTTTTAGATTAATCTGAGATGAAAATTTCTGCACTTGAACCGTCAAAAAAGAAAAAAAAACAAACAAAAAAAACAAAAAAAAAACAAAAAAAAAAACACATTTTAGAGTTTCAAATTTAATTTTCTAGAAAATTTATGGGACCTGAAACTTCACTTTGTTTCACAGAAATGTAATCAAAATAACTCTAAATGACGCTAAAAATAAAATAAAAAAGTAATAGGACTCCAGCTTAAATTGTGTTTATTTGTTACGGTACATGTAATGCAAACTAAGTTCATCAATCTTAATGTATCTACATGTATTGAACATGACAACTTAATATATTGGATAAACTTAATTGGATTACTTGCAACAATTTCTTTAAAGTTGACTCACCTGTAAAAAGAAAACTGTCATAGTAGAGCAGTTTTGCAGGTGGAGAACATTGTGCTGCTGTTCTGTAGATGAAGGTAACCCAGACAACCTGACAATGTACACAAATTAAAGGCTGGGATGAGTAGGAGTATGATTAATGGTTCACAATAAGGACAGGCCACAGGAGAAAGGATGGAGCAGCGGTGAAAATCCCATGGCTGTCAGACGAGGGAGAGGAGAAAAGACAACTTGGCAGATTCAGGAGCTGAGGAAACTGATCAGGAAATAAATTCCTCCTTTAGATATTGCCCAAGAAAAGTGAGCTGGAGTTGTGAAATCCACAGATCAGTGAGGCAATTTCCCACACTCTCCGCTCTCCGAGTTTTTATTTCAAACCTCCTTTCTCACCTTCAAAACCGGAACTTTCTGCCTTCTGAACGGGGGGACGGCACTGGTTGATAGTTGCATTTACAGCCGGGATATCTGTCCGCAGTCTGGTCGTTTTCCATCTGGAGTGCAGGGCGCACATTTCTGCCGCCTTAAACCGCGCGGAGGTTGATCAGGCGCGTGCAAACATCAAAGCGTCGCGTGCTTTTTTCCGGTAGGGAACCCCTGCGCTCGCGCCGTGGACCATTCCTCCGTTCATCTACATCCAGACGAGGTGTGAACAGCGCACAGCGCAGACGGACCAGAGTTGTTGCCTGGTGTGGATTCACGGCGGGAGCGCACAACTCGCGGACTCTGTACAACGCAACTCCGGCACAGATGGATATTTACGCAGCTCTGTCGTTGTTTTTCCTTTTCACCAAACCAGGTGAGCGCAAGGAGAAAAAAAAAAAGCTTGACCGCAGTGAGGGATCTAGTTTTAACTTGAGCTTGTTTACATTTTTGGTCTCTTTCTCCGCTGTGCATGCATGACCAAGTTAAGATTTCCCTCAGCGTCTTTGGATTTAGTGAGTCTTGAAAATAGCGACAGAACTGGCAGAGTAACAGATGAAACCTTCTACCTGCACCTTTAATGTGCAGTGCACCTCCAGCCCGTGGAGAGCACAGGTGATGACTGCAGGCAGGAGATGCAGCGATACGAATAAAGTATCTACATAACCACTGCGCAACTTGCTCAATAAGAGACTTGAGCACACATTTTGTTTTTATTGTGAATGTATTTTTTTTAAAATAAACCTGTATTCGTTCCCAGTTAGATTCGTTTCCCTAACCTTCATCTCTGTTTCTGTTCAGCTTTTGGTTTCGGATCAGATCAAGACTACCAGATTGACATAATCAGCGAACTTGACCTGGCAAATGCCACTTATGGAATTACCCAAGTGGCTGGACTTCACAACGGCAGCAAAGCCTTCCTGTTCCGAGGTAACGACCAACATTTCTCTGCAAGACGCGTAACTCAAGTTGAAGAAAGATCATTTTTATTCCGTGGCTCCGTGCGCGCTCCTGCACGCCCTCGGTTTTGTTAATTAGTGAGAGCAAACCCACGCAGCGCCACACCTTTTGGTGTCGGAGTGTGTTGAGTCAGGCAACTCCGGGGAGCCTCCACTCATAATTACTCCACATTTAATTTGTCCGAGGCGGCAGATGCTCAGAGTCATTCTGGACACACTTGAGCGCGCAGTCAGCCTCGGATTTCCGCCACACTGTGATTGTTTCTAATGCTTTCTTTTGTGTAATCCCAGCAACTGGCCGCATGTAGCTGCTATCAGCTGCTTTTTATTGTGAGCATAATGAAGGATGCACAGCATGTGTTTAAAGCCCTGGAGGGAAGGAACGGGGAAAGCTGAAAGGATGAAATGACATTTTTCCTCTGGTTTTGTGCTTTAAGTAGTTTTTCTTTTGAATGATGGGTTTTCCACTCTATGAAAGGTTGCAGAGCAGATTTGAAACTAGAGGTAGAGTTGATGAAGAGTGGAAGGACACAGTAAGGGTATTTCATTCAGAGAGGAGAGAGATGGAGAGTCTTTGGATATGAAGAGAGGAGTTCTCCAAAGACAAATTGTTCCATCAATTAAAAGATGTCACAATCTTTTAAAAATAGTGTGTTTTCCAGCTTTTAATGCAACAACTTGCAGAAAGATTTATTTGATTTTTGATTGTCTGTTGGATCTGCGAAACTTGACAGCCTGATGCAAGATTTTGCTTGACTCTTAGCAAAGTTAGACTGAGGCGCCGACCGAATGAAAATGTCAGCAGCCTCTACCAATTCTTTTTGTAAAACTCACAAAACAGCCATAAGCATAATGGGGAGCTTTTGTGAACATGCATTTGTTTACTATCTGTTCAAATCTGTGAGATGCAACATTAGCAGTTTCAGTCGTTTTAAATTTTAGTATTCTTAGGCCTCTATTGCTTTTGTGGAGATTTTTTTTTATTTCTATAAACTCCAAATGTGATATGACATCTGTCTGCTACAGGTAAGAGCAATGCTAATGATGAGGACTTCACAGATCTCTGTGTGCAGTAGTTTTATTTTCTGGAGTGCTTGGCTCAGTTCGCCACTGGCTCTACATAAATGAAGACCGGGCTGCTTGGCCAGCTCTACTGATGTAAAGCTGTCCAAGATTCTGGACTCAATACCGCCAGGGACAAACAACTGCTCTCACTTAGTTCATACACACAGCCCCCTCTTCTCCAACCTTTTCTCCTGACAGTTTCCAGGATCCAAGAGTTTGTGCAGCAGCCAGATAGCAGGGGAAACAGCAGGGTAGTCCAACTGGGAATACTGGACTTGCTTGTGTTGTGACCTAGTTAATACATCAGTGATGCAGTCTCTGCTTCTGTCATGGCTTGGTAACCCAGATTGCTCCACTAAGCGACACCAGCTGAAGAGCCATAAATATTTCATCACTTAAAAAAATGTTGATTGATATTTCAAAGCACCATAACCACATAGTTAAACATGCAGTGCATCCTGTTGTAGAGCTGGTGTTTACATTCACTGCAAAAACACAAAACCTTACCAAGTATTTTTGGTTTAGTTTCTATAGTGAATATCTTAGGATGCTTGAATTTAGACAAAAATAACTTCCAAGTAACTTTTCAGCAACATATAGAAACTTGTTTTTAAAGTAAAAACTTCCTTTATAGGAATGAAAAAAACTTGCTCTATTGATTAATTCACTTGTAACATCCCCATGTTATAAGTTAAGTTATCTGGTTTTTAGCAAGATATGTGTTGCATTTGATAAAGCTCCTATTTTGGCAAAGAAAAAAAAAGCTCAGTTTAATGACTTTTCGACTCTAATATCACTCAAACTATTTTCTGTTCTATCAAACTTTTTTTTTTTTTTTTAAGAGCATGAGGTTGATTTTCTAACATTAATTTCCATTTTTCCTGAACTCATAATGTGAACAGTGACTGACCCACTGTATAATAGGACCTACTCTGAACTTGTGATACAACTAAACCACTAAAAAAAAAGGAAATATTTAAACTCTCCCACTGTGCTGAAGCTATTGAAAAAAGCTCAGCTAATTTCTAAGATAGTTGCATGTTTATCTTTTGCTTTTTGCAGTTAAATGTAACAGAACTGCTTACATTGCTGAAACATCCTATATACTGAAATAAAGTTAATTTTGCCATATGAAGCGTGACCTATATTCTTGTTCCACGTTGCAGCCCAGACTGTCAGCCTCATTACTCAGGCCAGCCTTGGTCCAAGCTTTGCTTTAGATTTAAAATAGTGGTGATTATAGTTTGTTCTTTTCATGTTCCTGTGGGGGCATTTTGAAACTGCTGGATCCATTTTAGTACAGAGTATATAACTTAAATTGAAACAGGTGCTTGGGTCTCATACTATGCTATATTTTTCTGTAAGGACTCTAGTATTGATTCATTAGCAGGCATTCTTGTTTATGGAGGAAAAACCTTGTTACTTTAACTGTTTCACTGAAGCTAGAGACTTCATGCTTGATATAACTTCACTGCAGACAAACCAACCTCCAATTTTACTTCATGACCAAGAGATCAAAATACTTGAATTAATTTCCAAACTGAAGAGGGCGCTCTGCTCTTTTCTGGTGGTGGTCCGTTGTAACTGAACTGTCCTGTCAAAAGCTTGAGATCCCGACTTGAAGCCAATAGAGCCACATTGTCTGTGACAGGCTGGGATTTAATTTCGAGACCAAATATTTGGAAACACTCAACTCATTGACAGCACCTTGAAATTCTGTCCATAAAGATTATGAACACAATGCATGACTAAAGGCAAACTTGGCGGAGTCCAAAGCTCACTGGAAACAGATCTGACCTGCTGTTTTTTTTCCAGGCGTTCAGTCATTTCCAGTCTTTCCATCTCTACCAGAACTAACTTATGTTCCAAAATGGCTCTGTTTTTCCCTCCTTATGTATATCTTCATATCTGACACACAGGTTAAGCAAAGTGACCTGATCATGAAATGGGCTGCATGGTGAGCGTAATGGGATGGGTTTAGGAGTCACAATGCAGTTCCATGCTGTGCATTGTGTAAAATCAGCTGCTAGACATAAGAGTTTTCAAAACTGTAGTTTATGGCATCGAATTGAGCTCAATATTTCTGGACAGTGCATATTCCTCTGCTCTTCACTGGCTGTTGCACAGAATCATTAATGTTAAATGGTTAAATGGTAACAAGCACCGCTTTGATCTTGATTCTGTGAAATCTTTTAGTACTCCTCCTCAGCCTTTTATGTTAATTATCCTTAATGCATAACTCTGCAGACTGGCATGACTACAAAAAGGGTTTGTAATTAACGTCTAATATACCCTCCTGTTGATTCAAGTCAATTTTTTTCATGCATAATTAAAAGAAAAACCCACACTATAGTCCTGCATTGTTATATTTACTTATTGTCCCTGTTGATAATAAGCCTACTGTTGCGTGTAAACTGTACATATAACAAAAAATTACCTGCAACAGAGATCAAAGATGGATGTTTTTCTATTCTGAAGCCTGAGTTACAGATACTAATATACACATAATGTATGTTCATCAAAAAATACACAAAAGCTTGACTATACAGGGCGACGTCCAACTCCATAAAGGGATATTTTCTCGTCGCTTATTATAAAAGTTGCAACTTTTAAGATTCCTACAAATAACTTACAGAAAAAGTAGCTTTGTATCTGGATGAAAAAGTAGCTTTGTATCTGGATGTATGAATTAACTTAATTAATTTTGGTTAATTTTATTTATTTGGATGTAATTCACAACAAATGTTTTCTCTAAAAAAAAATATTTACAAAAAAATATGATCAATTCAATAATGTATAGAGGGATTCAAATTGTCATTTACAAACCCATTGAACAAGTTAAAATATTGAAAACTTCATTATCACCAAATGAAACAAATTTAGATTTGACAAACACTGACATTTTAACACCTTTATTTCTCAAGAATACTTAATGAGAAGCGCGTTTAGAGGCTTTTGGCAGGTCAAGGAAAGGTTTACTTAACAGCCAAAATAATTTATAACAGATCTGCTCCTAAATGGCCACCATATTTGTAAGCTTTTTCTAATTAAACTCATAATAAAGGAACAACTCTGTTTAATGAGAAAGATTGGGGGTTATGACAGCAGAAATGCACTATCTTTAGAAGTTTGGAAAAAAAAGAGAATCTACTAATGAGACAATGTGACAGTCGGTTTGTACTTACATTAGATGAGAGAAAGATACACAATAAGTATTCACAATTTAACATATCAAAGCACATTTTATCATCTGTTTTGGATTAATCCCTTGGAAGAAATTAATTAATCCCAGCAACAAAACTGACATTTTTTATGGATGTAACATATTAATACATCACTAATCAGTTAGTATTTGTTGTTTTCAGCCAACCATTCTTGTTTTGCTAAATGTCATATTATAACAATCTTGAGACCCACATCAGACCAACTTTATTTTTCTTGTATAAAATTAGCTGAAAGCAGGAAAAAGTGACAACCTCATTTGTTTCCCTATCTTTCATTTCTTTTTAATGTCAAGACATAATCAGATCAAGATGTAGCTCATTAGCAATGTGCAACATCTTGATGTTTAATTTACATAAAGTGTGAAAATGCTGATTTGTCTGAATAAAAAAGCTTTTTGTAAAGATTAAATACATAAAGGAAAAACCTGCTTCAGATTTTTTTTTTCCAATTTGCTCAAAAAAAATGAAATACTAGGAATCTTGAAGCTGTTTAATTTTTTTTTTTTACCACCCCACTCCTAAGAAAGTAGAAATGCATAAATCACATTTTTTTTCATTCTGCATATAATGCCTTCTCTGTTGGGCTTCTGTAATAAACTGTTTTTATTAAGAGGAAAAAAAAAAAGACGATCCGAAATCTGAAATTGGAGCGATATGAACAGTAAATTGGCAGTTTTGAGAT